TATTCCATGGAATAGCTCTTAACATACCCGATAGCAATGAATATCTTAAGTAGCTTTAGACAAAAAATACGATAAAAAATAGTCATCTGTGGAAGCCGTAGTACTGTAAAAAGCACGACCAATCATCTGAGCCGGCCCGGCTAAATAACTGGATGGCCCACCTGCCTGTCAGCCTTCCATCTGTGCACAAACTTATCTCATGCCCTCATTGGTCATGTGCGTGTTCGTGTGTGTTGGAGGAGGGGCTCTGTAAGGAAGTGGCAGATTTTCTCCGGTTGTGTATTTTCAAATTCTACCAAAAACAGGTATACAATACTATATGACAGTAAAAAAAAGTTGTTATTAATAAACAAGAATACAGTTTGAAAGGGGAATGATTTGTAAAATATCCATGAAGAAAAATAAAATCTGCTTCCAGTTCTGTTTCATATGGATGTTGAGAGATGTATCCATAGATCTCCTGATGTTGCTCTCAAAGTGCACCAGATTGATACTTTTAACTTCAACATTTAAAAAAAAAAATCTTCCTGGGGGAGCATGCCCCCCGGACCCCCCTGGGGGAGGTTCGGGTACCCCCCTAGAGGAGGTTAGGTCCCCCCCCCACTTAATTCTTGTTCACATGGATAGGAAACTAAATACATTTGCACACATCTTGTGTCCATATCTTTCTGTTTTGGTGGTCATGCCACAACCGTGCAAGTGCATGCGTGGTTGCTTTTTCTTTGCACAGCATGAAAGAAAGGCCAAATGAATGGGCGGTTTTTTTAAGCAGAGCTCAATCATTTGCACGGCCCTCGGAGGATGTTGAAAAATGTAAATGGCCCTTGAGAGGAAAAAGGTTCCCCACCCCTGCTGTAAAGAGTCTAAAGTCCAGATGCTGCCAGGAAATAAAACATTGCACCTTTTAGATTACCTGTGAATGGCTGGGGAAGGCCCTTTTATTTAACAGTAAAATCCAGATGTTAAATAAAAGCAGTCCATGTCAATCTTCATGTTGAAGAACTTACCTGTCTGAATATCCTTCCACAGAACCCAAGACTTTGAACGATCCTCGAAAACCACAAAGCACCTCTGCTTCTCCCGATTTATCTGAAGGAGAAACAAAATAGATGGATATCTTTCTTAACGCCACACTGTTCTTAAAGCATTTATTTAGTGCCAACGCATCTGGAATCTTCGTACGTCACATCTGCCAAATGTTGAGGATTTCTCCAGGTGGAGTCCTTGCGTCCTAAGACCAAAAGTGCTGAAAATAAACTAGGCTACAAGCTAAGCTAAAGTTGTGTAAAAAAGGGCACAAAGGTTTGAAACAGTCAGATATGTGCATTTGGAGGCCTACTTAGGGGGCTATTCCAGTGGGCTGTTTCCAGTGTTTTGAGCATCTTGTGTACTGGAGCAGGTTGTGGTACAAGTGTGAGGCAATTTATCATTATAATGGACATCGTGACAAACTGCTTGCATTTTGGACTTTTTTTATAACGAATCATAATCCTTTCCTGGTTTTAATGGCTGTTTTTAGAAAAGTGATTTGATTGTCTGATCTTACCCAGCTGTCGTAGCTGTTCTTATAATTGCGTGTTCCCACGTAGCTATAATAATCTCATATATGATGAATATTTATCAAAATTCTGTGTCATTTTCTGAAAGCAATAATAGTGAGCCATAAAATTAATGTTGGGGTATTTATTCAGAAAGTCATTTTTGATGCTTTCCATACAAGGACTGAACATTTAAATGAGATGTTATCAAAATCAAAATATGGGCTAGTGCAATATTTAAATTGCAATAAGCTCAATATTTGGTAAATGCAATATATCTGAAAATAAAAGTATTGTCGTGGTGCAAAGAAATTCCAGCCTACAAAAGGTAAAAATACAGACTTACAATACATATTTAATCAAATTGAGTTTGGTACAGATCCTTATTTTAAGATAATGTGAATAATGTTTTTGTTTTTTTTTAATGAAAATTACCTCAAACTGCAATTGCAATATCAGTTTTAAAAAATGCAGTAGTATTTTTTCCTAAATCATGCAGCCCTACTCAATACAGCCCATTCCTAGGTGTTACTGTGTATATAAATAGAAGTAATTTAGTGCCATAGGTAAATCCCCCCACACTAACCTTGGTGATTGTCCCCAAGTAGAACAAGCCATCTGACCACCGGGCCAAGACGTCCTGCCCCTCTGTGAACCTGTCAGACATGTCGTCCTCTCCATACTCCCCCTGAGCAGAGAGGCTGCTGGGAGACAAGGGCACGGCCTGCTGCTGCCGCTGGGGGAGGGCTCTGTGATGGACAGACAGGTGATCCACAACCCCTGAGTCTCTGGAAGACAAAGGGAGGTGAAGGGAAAGATGGCAGCAGTTAAATGAGGAGAAAAGCCTTTCCAATGGGGTATTGAGACAAATCAGTTTCTTGTTTTTACAGTAATTCCAGATAATACTTCAATCCGTCACATAATACAATTCCCAGTCTCTGTGCTGCAGGCCAGGTGCTTGGGTGTTCATTTAACAATACAATCTTATTTATGCATTTAGGATAGGATAGAGGTAACAGTGCATGAACAATTAAAATGTATGGAGTTACATGTTCTCTTGTAAAGTTTCTTAAAGCACTGAGGAAAGTGTTATATAAATATGATGCATCATTATGATTAGTTTAATTCAAAGTCAGGGTAAAAACAATTGACCTTGTTATGCATGCCTACTGTTTTTTTTTTTTTTAAACCAATACTACTCAAGTTTATGTACATCAGAAACCCCCTTGGGTTTCAACTCTGGTTGAATCACAGCAACACTACAATCCACACTATAATTGGGACCATCTAATACATTCCTTTTAAAAGGATAACATACAATAAGAATGATGTGAAGATACATCTGTGAATATCCACTGAAGTGCTGCCCTGTATGTATAATCTCAATGGCAAAAACAAGGATATACTGTTGGGTTTCAGTAGATCTAACAAAACAATGGCTGAAAATGAGACGCATGCCATTTCCCCTCCATTGGAAACACAACAGGTGATTATACTCATAATAAGTGCTAATTGGTAATCAACCACATGCAGTCAGTGGGATGGCTGCAGGACAATGCTGAGTGTTTCTATAGCCTTTTCAACGTCAAAAACGAAGTAAACGCAACTTAAAGCTGACGTTCTATAAACTGGCAATTGAATGTCAGCGACCCTTGCCGGATATATTAATACAAGTTTGTCCTTGTTAGTGTTTAAATTCTGCTGTAAATCTTGAGTTATTAAATTAAGCTTTATATTTAATATTTCCATTTCCATTTAGCCAGTCAGCCCGGGATTCCCTTTGTTCGGTTACTGGGGGAACATGGTCAATTTTAGGCTCTGGTGAAGATAAATAGCTAGCTCGAGATAACGTTGCAAAGTAAAACCTATTAGAGCAGCTAGCATCTTAGCCGGATTAGCATGAATAACCCGCATGCAGAGCGGCAACGTTAACCCCGGAGAGGTCGCTGACCGTCGGACCCACACACCCCACACACAGGAGGAAAACATGACAACAATACCTCATTCGGTCACCTCCGCTTCTACAAATCACTGGGAAAATAAAATGACAAAAATAGTAAGGACAAAGGTTATCCCGCTTCTTTCTGTGTTTGAGTTTATCTCCAAAGTATGTCGCGGAAACTTGCGGGAATCGTGCTTTCTTCAGAAGATAACAAACGGTTCATTTTCCCCCAACACGTTCGCCATTTTGGTTTCCCGCTGATGAACGGGGAGTGCATTATGGGAAGCGTTTAAACTGCTACTGCTGTCGCTACTACGCTCACCTTTTTTCAAACATTTGAAAATGTAGGCAGGCCCTTTACAAAGCAAGGCATATCCGACCCAAAGAAGATGTTGGCTTTTAGTCGAACACTGCATATTTACAGCATTACTTATTCTGTAGGCAGTAGTGAAAAAAGTATTCAGATGTTTTACTTGAATAAAAGTAGCTACTAATACCACACTGTAAACATACTACATTTCAAGTAAAATGACTGCATTGTACGGAAGAGGATTAGGGCCATATGAGAAGAAAATGGGATGTGTCCAAAAGTTTCAAAAAAGGAAAAAGAAGTTCTGACTTTTTACCCAGAATTCTGAGATTAAAGTCAGCACGTATCCTCCTCCATAGAATCAAGAATGCTCTACTTAAATAGTAAAAGTGTTCAAGTATGATTAGGAAAATGTACTTACAGTATTAGGAGTAAAAGTACTCATTGCAGAAAAAACCCTAAAATATATTCAAAGGTAAAGCAGCAAAACTTCACATTTAAGAAGCTGGAACTGTGAAATATTTTGGAACCAAAAACATCTTCTCAAAATTGTTGAAAATAATGTTTTTGTTAACCCACGTATGGTTGACGATTTACATATCATGTTGTATGGTTTAATCTATACCTAATAATAATATTTTAAAGTGTTTCATTAGCAATCTGTTTCAACATCTGAATTTATAAGCCAACTACTAAATACATCTGTAAAATAAATATAGAGGAGTGAAAATTGCAAAATCGTCTTCCAAAATGTATAGTATAAGTATAAAGTTGTATAAAATTAAAATACTAGGGTGAAGTAGGTTACCTCAAATGTGTACAGTACTTGAGTAAATGTAGCCTACTTACTTTACCACCACTAGGTGTAGGTAAAATGTAAACTAAAATGCCGGCATTATTGATCAACAGGTATTTTGGCAGATTTTATTTTTATTCTAGAAATTCACAAGTTCAGCTAAGAAGTGCTACAACATCATGTAACCAGTGAACTGTTGACAGGTCATGTTTTATCACGCTTTATTACATGGCTTAGTTGAATACTCGATTCTGATTGGTCAATTCAGAACACGTGACACGTTGTTAATACCGAACAGACAGACCGCTGTCAAGGACTTATTGACCGTTGTTAAGGACGCTCACATCTACACAAACAAGTCCGTTCGATTAAACTTAATACAGTTTTGCCGAAAACTGCATGCAGTTTGCTATTCTAACTGACAAGACAAGAGCGACAAGAAAACAGCGGGCAGAAATCCTCCTTTTTACGCAACGGTCCAGACATAGACATCAAACGGCGTCACATATTCAGTTGCCAGTTACTTTGGCATTAGGGCAGGGATATCTAGATACTTTCCAAGGTTTGACATAATGAATTGTGCTACTTTTAAAGCAAGCAGCGATGTTTTCAAATCTGTAATAAAAAAGCTCCTCAAAAACGCTATCGATGCAGTTCCTGCCGTTGCTACGTTAGTTCAAACAGTAACAACGGACTATTTTTCTTAGCGGATGCATGTCAATTTAAATCAATACATACAACTATTTTTTAAATCAATAAAATCATTTTCTAAATCCATAAAAGCATTTCAATTAATAGTGGGAGTCATAACGTTACTTTATTGAGAATGTGGCCATGTAATATGAGGTCCTTGGCGCTCAGACTTTAGAGGGGTCATTTTGTGATCATGGGGCATCACCCTTACAACATCAGGACAATATCATAATGGAGTCAGACACTGGAAGTGTGCTGGAGGCGTTGACTGGGACTGATGGAAGGATGAGGCTGATGAGACTGAAGAATCTGCGAGGAACGAACTAGCGACTGAGAAATAATCATATATTAAAAGACAGCAGCTTCATAAGAGGCCAACAAGAGTGACAGAGTGTGTTACTTTGCTGAAGGATATTTGTGACCAGCTATCCAGGCCAGACTCTAAAGACTTTCCAAGGTGTAAAAATGCTGCTGCTGGAGTAATGACTGGAAGCAGTGGCGGCTGGTGGAAAATATTTTTGGTGGGGCTATGGAAATGGTGACAAAACCATGTGTGTGTGTGTGTGTGTGTGTGTGTGTGTGTGTGTGTGTGTGTGTGTGTGTG